AGAGCGGAATATATACAGGACCAAGAAAGCTAACAGTCGCAGTGATTATCTGCAGACGGGGGGTCCTAACGTTATCTTCTAACAATAACGCCCTCTCCCAGGTATGTCCCCTACTGGAAGATAAACAAAACCTACTGGACATTAGAGGCTTTGCTTAGAAAGCGATATTCACGAATTCTCCTACCCCAATCCCCCTTACTATAATCCTGATACAAATAGTAAATACTATCAATGGATTGCTACTATCTAAGAATGAAGGAAAAGGTACTTATCCTTAAATAATCCAAAGCTTGTATCCCAAGATGCTGTCAGACAATGCGCACTCTGTCCACTCTCCATGTCTGTTGTCATTAGCTTGATTGGAGTCAATAGACGATCAGAGACCTGATATGGTCGCTGGACATCATACCGGTCGAACAGAAGACCGTCTCTGCCAAACGATAACGACTCGAGCAGGCTAACTCAAGTGTCGAAAGGTCCATTCACGGTCCAAGGTAAGACGAATCTGGCACGGCTGTAGATCACGGCGCACCGCGATATGTGGCAGGCGAATCTGGCACGGCTGTAGATCACGGCGCACCGCGATATGTGTCAGGTGAATCTGGCACGGCTGTAGATCACGGCGCACCGCGATATGTGGCAGGCGAATCTGGCACGGCTGTAGATCACGGCGCACTGCGATAGGTGGCAGGTGAATCTGGCACGGCTGTAGATCACGGCGCACTGCGATAGGTGGCAGGCGAATCTGGCACGGCTGTAGATCACGGCGCACCGCGTATTGCGATAGACGTAGTGTAGATCATGACGGTCATTAGGAAGAACCATCGGGTATCGTGGAGTTCCTCACACTGGCGGGTGTACATTGTTGTACGGCGTTGAGCGAACCCGCTGCTCCACCATCTGTTGTGAGGTGAGGACAGGGTCGACAAGAATCAAACACGAAGTCCATTTACAATTAGTTTCTTTTATTGCTTGCAAGATCAAACAAAACCTAGGATGCCTATAAAGAGAATGGACTTTCCTAACCCCACCTTTTTTACCCACCTAACATCTAAGTTTTCTGCGCTATTTGTTACTTCCCTCCCAATCATTCCTATGCTACAAAATGTGTGCGTACTAACAATCCTAACTATATATATATCCTAACTATATATATATATATATATATATATATATACACACACACACAAATTAAGAACAATGGATACTCATTGCTGGCCTGTTCTGGTTTTAATAAATAAAATGAAAAATTTAATTAAAACAAATTACAACATCATGCCATGTGTGTAAGTGCATTAGTGTGTTTTGTGAAAATCTGTTTATTTTATCTCTGCCATAAGACCTCTTAACTAACCTCTAGTCTGTCAAAAGAATATAAAACATGAAAGCTTTGTATAAGTAATGGTGTCTCGTGTTATGTTTATTTTTGTTTTTTTTGTATTTATATTATTAATTTTAAATACATTTCCTTTTTATACAAAGTCATTTTTAAGTAAGTAGGCCTACTTTAGAAAAAAAAAATAATTAAGAGAAATAATTGCTATTTGTTTAGTACAAATCTATTAAAATCTATTAAAAGGAACTTACGGGCACCCCTATTCGACTATTTAAAAATGGGAAATAAGTCATGGAAGTGGTTTGAATGTTTGCCTATCTTTGATAAGTTTGATTGTGGGAGAAAGAGGACTCTGCTTTCACAGTGGTTTAAAAACAAAGGGAAAAAGTATATACAAGACTGTGGGTTGGTGTCTATAGAATAAAGATAATCCAACCGCAGCTACGGTAATCTTTTTTACAAAACAACCATCAAGTCAAAAATGCAAGAAAATTATTTATTTTTAACTGTGGGCCCCTATATGGCGTGCCCCCACCCCGCATTGTGGGGTCTGGCGTCACTATAGTTCCGCCCCTGAACTGGACAGTATGTAGTACGTCCGCTAACTAAACTGATGGATCGGTACACGGCCTGATGATCGTAGGTCATCCCACGACCAAACTGTCCCTCACATTCAAAACCAGGTGGCAAGATGTCGTATTTAAAACTGGAGCCCAAAGTCGTACAGAAACCCTCGTGTCTAGCGTCTGTCTACATAGCTGTGTGAAATGCTCGATTCTTGATAACGTTGCTGTTTGTTTCGCGCCAGCTATGTTCTGTTATCTAACAACATCCAAAGATTATCTCTTAATTGACATGCTTCCAATAAGTCAAAAACACTCATATATGTTGCACTGTACTGAGCTGTCTCTATAATACCGTTTACCTAGGAATTTGGAATGTTTATTTTTTTTTACTCAGCCAGTTTCTTGTATTTTTACAATTACTATGACGTTTGAGTTAAATGATTGAATCCATCCAGTGGTATATTTTTATTTAAATAATTCTTAATAGACCACTTTTAAATTAAATAATTTATTAATATCTTGCTTGAGATACTCTATGCAGTTGTAAATGCATTAAAAAATACTTATTTGAAAATTTTATAATTGTGCGCCTACGCAGAGTTATTTCCCTTTTGCCTTTTTTCTATACTCTTGACCTGACCAATTTTTGTGTTCATTTTCCATAGGCTTAGTAAACTTAGTTGTCCCCGCAATTTTTACACTAAAACCGTCATATCTAGAGAACTGTTTATCCTATAAACATAAATTTGGTATCATTTTGCAACATTTAGTCCCCTTAATACAACCCCATTGTTACTTTGTCATTTTAATTATTTAAAAAATTGTGTGCAACTAGCTACTTTTAAATTTAACCTATTTCATTGCAAAGTATATCCACCATAAGACAAACCCCACAGTGATAGGCCGGAACTCATTTCTTGTCTCAAATAATTCTGTTTTAAAATACCTCATTTATGCCCAACGAAAATTATGATTAGTGTCATGGAAGTGGTTTAATGTTTGCCTGTTTTTCACAAAACCACTAGTCTATCAATGTGGGAAAAAAATTATTTTGTAGTGTTGGACTTTGTTCCCCCTACCCCTAAACAGCCTGCCCCCACCTCCTACCTCCCTACCCCCGCGGTATAGTAGTTCCACCCCTGTAATTAATTTCAATTTTCAAAAACTGCTCTCCACTAGCCACGAACACTGGAAAAGTTAATATTAATAGTGTTCTCAAGGAAATAACATTTGGTACACAATCTTTATAATTTGGGTTGTGCTATATAGAGTAGCACATATGATGGGGATATAGGCTTTGGAAGCCTTCGAGCTATTACTTGAAGCTCATTGCAAAGATCGTCAATATCTTTATTACCGTTATGCATTAACGACATTTCTTAATGTTTGCAGTCAGTAAGTAAATCCACAAGTGTCTTTTTGTTGATATTGGATATATCATAAAGATAGCCAAATAGAATATTATGTTGTTCTGATTTCCAAAAACTTTGAAATTCTGTTTAGGATCTTGTGGTGCCAACAATTAATTTAGTTTGAAAATCTAAATCTCTCTCTGGCTATCGAGATTTCTAATGCAAAGTGAAAGAAAACGAGACTTCAAGCCCGATTAAAAATTGTGCGTGTTTAACAAGGTCACGTCATGCGCTGGAGTGATCACGAAATCAGCATTAAAATTAGATTATCATCTGAAATGTTTGAAATTAAAAGATTTAAATACAATAATTATATTATTGTATTAACAGAGGCTTGGCTAGGGAAGCGCGGATTGGGGCGGCCAAAGGGAGCGCCAAACGTGATAGATAAATAGCGCCCTAGGTGACCGCCTAGTTCACCTTATAGGTAGCGCTGGCCTTGACCCTACCCCTCTCAAACTTTCTCTTTCTTGTTATCATGACTGATCACTGTCTCATTTTAATACTATCTTCGCTATTTTTGTTTATATTAAATGTCAATTATTTTTTCTTTTGGTGCAAACGGCTATAGTTTATTTAGATTAAGGTTTAATACTATTATATTCTGATAAGTCGGTACAGAGCTTTATGGTAATAAATAATACGAACCCACCCATAGCCTAGCTTACGCCACTATTTGGTGACCGTTGAAGATGGTGTGGGTGGGTACACACTGTTGCGCATGCCTGGAGAACGAGGGAGGGGGTGGGAGGAGGGTTAGAGTGGGTGTGTGTGCGTGGTGTCCCTCATGGTTGGGCGACACAGAGAAATATAAATAGATCTGTAGGGGGTAAGGGTGTATGCTCTGGTGACTGGTAGTTATGGTGTGTTAGGTGGTCTAAATTTCATATATTGGTAAAAGATCCCTCCCTATATGTAGGTTTCTGTCCACTTTTGAGTGACTTCCAGGAACCACAAGTGGTAATATAATTTGATTCTGTGTTTATCAAATACATTTAGAATTCAATAATTTTATACCATATTCTCTTTATGCAAATTCTAGGTGTTTTCTGGAAAAAAATGAGTGGCTGGCTCTGTCAACACTCTGCTATATAACCATGATAACTATTTTAAGTGGATTCTTTTGAGGGCACTGGGTGTGTCATCGGATATAGCAGCCCACTGTGTACCTATTATAGGGTGTACTTTAAAACAAATATAGGCATCATGATGCCCAAAAGGGAGCTAGGGTATGGTGCTCTTTAAAATGAACTTAAGCATCAAAATGCTAACAAGTAAGTCCACATTGGGTCACCCATCCACCGGGGCGCTGGCTGATACGCCTAGTGCAATTGGACCATTGAATTAATTAGTCCCCATGACCCCTTGTGCAGGACACCAAATCAACAAACCCCAGGTGCTAAGATAGCCACTAGGGAAACCTGCAGTCATATTCCAACATGCTAAGGCACTGCCCCTCTGGAAAAAGCATTAAAAAAGCTCTGGGTCTACCTTCCTTATGTCATATTTTTACACCTTCTAACCACAAGTTCCATGTAGTTAATACAGTAATAACTAATGTCCCACCCTCCTTTCCAGGTGCATGTTATAGGATGATCCCTTAACAATTTAGCCAAGTCCTTCACACATTAAAAGATATTACCCCTGTAACTTGTTTGCTTATTGTTTTAATTTTTGTTTCCACAGGATTGACCTTGCTCCAGAGAATACTGCCAAGCCAATTTCTTTTGAATCAGATGTATGAGTACATCATTATTATTACATACTATATATTTCAGTGTTTTTATTCAAAATTCAGTATCATGCAGTAACAAAATAGCATTACACACCCTAAAAGTACAAACATAAAATAATTTTTGCAAAGCCACAATTACCCATTGTGGGAACTAAATTGATATTAAATTTTATTATTAAATGATTAAAAGTAGTACAGAGGTAACTCGATATACTTGTTTAATTCCTACCGTAACAATGCTTATAAGTCAAATTGTTCTTATCTCAAAGCAGTATTTTCCATTAAAATTTTATTAAATGCCATAATATATTCTGTTCCAGCCCATCCCCAGATTGCCACCCCACCTGTTTTTATTTTTTTATTTTAATAAGTAATAAACCAGGAGTGATCTCCCCTAAACTTTCTCAAATATTCTTATATAACTTGGAATGTAGACATGATTTTTAATTACTTAAACTTTTAAAAATATAATAGAATCTCATAGAAAAAAGAATTGCGCACCAAGCGAACACCAAAACAAAATGTGCATAATAGTGCGCAATATTATTAGTACTTTATAAATTTACATGCGTTTTTTGAGAAATCGGAAATAGCGCAAATTAGTACTTCCGGTCAACGGAAATTACTCAAAATATGATAGAAGGTAGAGAATTAGATCTTTTACTTACATGTGAAATTTCATTTATCTATCTGAAATAGTACTCTAGTTATAGGCTTTTGAAAAATTCCAAGTAGAACAAGTACTACTTCCGGTTATTGGCAATCGCTCAAAAGTTTCAGGATCTACAATTTTGATAAAATACTTTTATATGAAATTTCATCAACTTAACTGTAACGGTACTCAAGTTATCGTGTTTACACACAGACAGACACACACACACAGAAAGACATACGGACACAATTGCAAAATTATGTTGTTCCGTATCAGTGAGGTGTAAAACGTCGAGATTTGTAAAAAATCTCTATTTCTTTTTTTTTTGCACATATATACGAGAAAGTAAAAAGCATTTATAAATTTTAAAAATGTGTATATTAAACATAAAAAGAAGAATGTGAAGAACTTACCTGGTTTTATAATGTGTATATTGTTAAGAAATCTGCTAACCTTAGCTAATTAGAGATGTTGGCTGAGGTTGTAGGGAGGAGCTTTTACTTAGTTCACTTACTCTCTACACTGCTAATGCTAAACTTTTCCAGTCACTTAACTTTCTCATTATACATTTAACACTAAACTTTATCCATAAACTTAGTTGAACTTAAATGCTACTTTATATATATATATAGATATAGATATATATATATTATTAATTATATGTACATTTATATATATATATATATTAAGTTTTACTAAATTTTTGTCACTGCGATACTCATTTTCATCTAAAAGATGTTAAAAATCTGTTGATAGTGGTTTGTTTCTTCCTCCCATTAAAGAATTTTGGGGAAATAAGTTAGACAAAAGTCATTAAATAGCTGCCTTGCACGATCAGTTGCAACTTTTTAAAATTTTATTTGCCATGAGCAGATCCGGTTACTTGTACCTCAAAATTTGCCAGTAACTCAAAGCAAATAATCGCTCTCTCAATTGCTAAAATCTTTGAGGTACCAATGTAATATATATATATATATGTATGTTAATAATTTTTATTTTAATAAGAGACATGATTTTATAAATACTAAATTTGAAGTTCTGTATTGATTTTTTTTATCCACCTCCAAAAAACATAAACCTACCTTCCATATTAGACCTAGAAAATTATATGGGCTATGTATGTTGAAGAGAGCCACCAAAAATTGTACCATTGTAGAAATGCACTTGCAGCCCCTTTGCTTTTCAGGGGCTATATATCTAAAGTAATATATTCTGTGTGGTTGTTATGTTTATTTTTCTTGTTAAAATTATGTTTTTACAATTTTGGTAACTGTTAGCCAAGGGTGTTTCATAGTATAAAATCATATGCTGCCTTTTAATATTGCTGCTGCTGTATCTATATTTGTGATACAAATTATTGTTAGTTACCTTTAACTTTTTTTTATTTAGGCTAAATACTATTTTTGTACTCAAATGATCATTTGTATTTATAACATTTTTATCAATTAATAAAGAAAATGATAAATTTATTTTATTGATTAAAATTTAGAGAATGAATGTTATCCAAATCATTAATTTCTACAAAGCTTAAAACACATATATTAGTGGATTTACTATATATGTATATATATATGTATGTATATATATATGCATGTATGTATCTCTATATATTATGTATATAAATATATATATATGTATATATATATATATATATATATATATATATATATATATATATATATATATATATATATAAAGAGAGAGAGTTTAGAGGACATCTTGTCACTGTAGTACAAAAAAATATTGATATATTTTTTTAAATTGTAATTTGAAATGTGACATAATTTTACAATAGACCTGTAGCAGAGATGTTATTTTGATTGAATTTGAAATTTCTTTTTCGTTTATTCTTTACTATCTCTGTGTTTGTCATGGAAAAAGTAATGGGGTCTTTTTTGCAAATGAATTCTTAGGAGTGAATACATTTTTTTTTTTTTTTTTTTTTAAATATTCCTATGTAGTTTGAACAGAATGGCAGTAGCCAGTTTTTGGAGATTAAGGAGTTTTATATATATATATATATATATATATATATATATATATATATATATATATATAATCTAATATATAAAGTTCAATTCTGTATGTTTGTTTGTAATAGCAGACTGAGGATTGCAAAGGAAATATAATGAATTTATTCAATTATAATCGCCATAGTGTTATAAGTCTAAAATACTCAGTCTAAATTCATGATTTAAAAAATTAGTATTCAAGGTGATGTAAAACAAATTTAAATAGTAACTCCAGACAGAGGTCTGTGGCTGGGATTGTAAATATGTAAACAGCAAGTGTAACAAAGTTAAAGAAAGGGATATTACAACAAAGAGGCATTTTGTGACAAAAACTAATGTATGTGATGTGTTTGTATATATTGCTTCATTGAAAGTGGGTTAAAATTGAGTAACAAGGTTTGCCACAGCCCTCAAACAAAACTTTTGAACTGAATAATGTGCATTGACCATAACATCCTTTGTCAGTTGTATCTCATGAAAGCTTTATAGTTTATAATCTTTGCTCCTACTCAGCTTGATATTTTATCTGTTAGTAAACAGAAACAGATGGTTGCACATATATAAAGCAATGTATGTTTGTCGTTTATGCATTACTACACCTTTCATCTGCTTGCCATGAAACTTTGGGAAGTAGTTAAGAATACTCCTAGGGAGGTTTCTGCAAAAAAAAAAAAATTTCAAATTCGCATGGGTGGCGCCCCGACAGCGCGATTTGATTTTTCTCTATATACGGTATATAGTCGATTGCAATTTGACACCGCTCATCCAATCGCCATGAAACTTTGGGGAATTGATGAAAATATTCCAGGGGAGGTTTCTGCGAAAATAAAAATGTTAATTTCACAAGGGCTGCGCACCAGCAGGGGGTGTGATTTTTCTCTATATATGGTATATAAAAAAATGAAGTCTGAAGCGGTTTGACACCATTCATCCTAGTGCCATGATACTTTGGGGAGTTGATGAGAATACTTGTGAGAAGGTTTCTGCATAAAAAAAAATCTTAAGGGTGGTGCCTGAAAGGGTGTGATTTTTTTATAAACACAGTTTGGCATCTAGAGTTGCAGAGCGGCTATCTTAGCATTTGGTATCCATTCATTGGGCGTCCTTCATAACGGGTAAGGAGTACTACTATATTCAGTGGTAAATCTGTAACAGGAATAGCCTCCAGTGATTGCGTTACCCGAAGCGCCCCAGGCTCCCCTGTGAGCACTATGGCGCATACGTTCGTTTTAATAAAGGTATGCACTAAAGACACGATGGGCAGCAATAATTGTTGACTATATAAAATCAGATGTGTCCTGCATGGGTGATTTGGCCTTCCAGGCTTTGCCGATAGAATGTGAATAAGATGTAGTAGTATAGTCGTTCACTAAATTGAATCAGGCGCGTCCGCCGGCGCCCTGGTATGATTCGATTTGGTGCCCTGGGCTATCTAGTGAGCACTATTGTGCCTACCTAAGTTTTAAGGAGCACCCTACAATATTGACATGGTAGCACACGACATTTGATGATTAAACCGAGCCACATGCCATATGCGGCGCCCTTGCGTGGGTGTAACCAGTGTTCCCGAGGCCACCCCTCTGCACCCCTAACACCTGGAAGGACGCTGAAATGTGTTCTACCTATTACGGAGAGTGATTAACGTACATTCACGGCTTTCACACACCACACCCTGGGGCGTACTGGGCGGTAGTGTAAGTAAATAATAATATGTGCAATAACAAATGTGATCCATGAAATATAGTGCAGGAATTGTTTACATAACTCAGTTTTAGAAAAAAGATCATGGTGTCTAAGAATATAGGATTGATAAAATACTCTTTAAATATTTCATAAGATTTTCTTCTAACCCCGCGGCAACACGCAGGGATGAGCATGCTAGATACTTATAAATGAGTAAAACATTTAAGCAATTTTTTTTTAAGTAGTATTCTTTTCCTGCAATTTTACTTATGTTTGCACACTGATACTTTTTCTATACCAACTAAATTTGTATCTATTTTTTCAAATCCAAAAAAAGTTTTATTCTTGCTGTGTTTAAAGCAATTAACATATTTAAAAGTAATATTTCAATAAAACAATTTTTTTTAACAAACCACCTTCCTCAACTTCCAAGACAAACACTGTTTGATAAAAAAGGAAAATTTTATTTTATCCTTAATTGCTTGTAAAATTTAGTGAAGTTTCATATAATTATCTCCACAAAAACTCATTTTAATACACATTTATACATATTTTTAAATGAGAAAATACATTTATGTTGTGTATAAATATATTTCAACAACGTAGTTATCATGCACATGTTATATAATATCCTTGTATAAAATTTTGTATAGAAAAATATGCCTTCGATTATTTAAAAAAATCAGTAGGCACATTTTTTTTTTGCTTATCAGAAAAAAATAGGCCTACATGAATTTTTTTACATTATCTTCTTACACATTATTTTCTTCATATTGAGAGCTTGGAAATGAAAATTCCTCTCCAGTATGTAATATAGTCCTATAAAAGACAGGGTCATTTCAGCCAGATGGGATCTGAACCCACCGTGCTTAAACTTAGGCTATGAAAGTGGATGATCAAAAATGCTCTATTTTTGTATAGTTAAATGATCGATTATAGTACACTTCTGACCTAATGCTCTGGTGGGCTCTGATCCCGTTTCAACTACTGTCTTTTCTAGGATTATATTACCTCTTTGTGTCCATCTTTGACAATGAAATGATACTTGATGTCTGCATTGCTATTTCATTAGCAATTCTTGCTTCCAACCACTCTTCATAGCAACAGGCTTTACAAACATGTTAGTTAAATTAAAAGAATATTTAATCAACTTGAACAAATTTATTTATAGTAGGAAACATGTCAAAATCGCAGTTTTAAAAGCTCTGATTCATGATATAAGATACTTTTGGTACTAATATTAATAATAATCCCATTAAAATGTTTATGGCCATGTCTACTGAACAATATTATTATGGTAACTAACCTCAACAGTTTTAATAAGTTTATGAGCTTTTTACTCTAAACTTGATATATTTTTTTGAGATTATTTCTTCTGTTATTGAATTATTATAATTTATTATGCTATACTGAATTCTTTTTTGAAAAAATATGTATTTTTAATTTATTCTATAAACTATAGGCACTATTGGAGGTAGAATTTTACTATTGCTTATTAAAAAAATTCTGATACACTATTTTGTTTTTGTTTCTTTGTTAGTCTGTAAAATCTGTTTTGAATATAATGTTGATTAACTAATTGCTAAATGTTGTCTAAAGACAAACATTAAAATATTGAGAGCTTGGGATGTTCTAATGAAAGTTTTCAGGAAGCTAGCATGCTGAAACAAACTAGAATTCACTTATGATGCTGCACTTTTTCAAATACCTTCTGGGCATGGAGACTGAGATTTCAGTTGTCACATAAACTCAGGAAAAAAAAGAAACCATGTTTTTTCCTTCTGGTGTCCAACTTGTGGGTGAAAATTTGTAAAGTGTGTTCAACCACAGAATAGCTTACACTAAAAACTAATTTTCAAGATGTGGGCCTATGTAATGAAAATTGAGTAAACAATGAGCTAGAAAAAAAAAGTTCAATTTTATGGTTCCAAAATCTATAGTGATGACTGACTGACCTCCAGCCTTGTATTAGAGATGAATTACTACACCTTTCATCCGATCACCATAAAACTTTAGGAAGTTGTTAAGTATACCCCTGTGGAAGTTCCTGCGGAAATGTTTTTAATTTCGTATGGGCGGCGCCCTAGCAGGAAGCAATGGATTTCTCTGTATTAAAATAAAAGTCGGATGCGATTTGACACTGTTCATAATAGTACCATCAAATTTTGGGGAGCTGATGAGAAGATTTTTGAGAAAATAAGAACAACAATATTTTCGGGGCGGGAGGGTGCTAATTTTCTGATTTTACTGTTTCGCGCCAGCGGCTATCCTAGCACCTGGAATCTTACATTGCGAGTCAGGGGCACTACTTGATTCAGTGGTAAAACTGCACCAGGTCCATCCGCCAGCTCCATGGCGATTAAGTGACCGGAGCGGCCCTTTGCTTCCCCGTGAGAATTATGGCTTCTACCTTTGTTTTAAAGAGTGGGATACAATACGGTTTCGGTGGGCTACTATAATCGTTCACTAAATAGAATCATAAGTGCTCGCTGGCACCCTGGGAGTTGGCGACAGCAGTCGCCCTGGGCTCTACCTTGAGCGCTATACTATGGCGTCTACGTTCATTTTAAATAGCACCCTACAATAGGGACAAGCTGGCACGTGACATTCGATCATTAAATCTAATCAGAGGTGTAACCGGTGGCTCCCTGGAGCGCAAAGGACGAGTCTCTAACACCGGGCGGTCGTCAATAATTATGATTGGGTGTCTGGGCGGTAATGTGAAGAAACCCGCACACCAGGGGCGTAGCGAGGGGCGGGGGGGTGCGGACCGCACCGGGTGACACCATTTAGGGGGGTGACACCAAGGCAAAAAATAGCAAAATATATAGAGAAAAACTCGAGGGGGGGTGCAAATCGAAAACTCGAGGGGGGGTGCAAATCGAAAGTTTGAGGGGGGGTGCAAATCGAAAATTTGAAAGTTTGTCCCTGGGAAGGGTCTCTATGCCTTTGGGGGGGTGACACCATTAAGTGCCGCACCGGGTGACACCCGACCTCGCTACGCCACTGCCGCACACCAACAACTAAGATGTGGGTTTTTTTTTTTTTTTTTAGCATTACTATGCTTTTTATCCAATTGTCATTCAACTTTGAGAAGTTATTGAGAATATCTATGTCGAGGTTTCTGCAAAAACAATAATTAATTTTCGAATTTGTGGCGCCCCGGCAGGATCTGACTTAGCTACCCTGGCTAACCCGAGAACACTATAATATATTTGTTTATTTTAAAAAGTGCAATGCTTTATGAATACGATGGGCTACTATAATGAATTAGAACTTATCGTGTGTGTTGTGATTTCCCACTGCATTTATATTAAAATTAACATTACCATGATATGTCTCGAACTCATACCAAGC